ATTTTTTATTCTATATTACGGACGTGTTCTTTTTTGTTGGAAAAAACTAAATAGAAAGAACTAGAAAGATTTTGAAAAGCTGGAAAAAATTTTAAAACACAAACAGTAAGGAATTGAAGAAACTTTTAAAAAATTAGAAAAAAATTAAAAGTTAACTTTTCAAATTCAAAAGAAAAGCAAATAACTAGTTTCGAATAAACAAAAGAGTGGACAATTAAATCAAACTTATCAAGTGATGGCCACACTATAGACACCTTAAAAGGGGGTGAATCCCCTATCTGATTTTTGAAGATTTGATCTAGTTTGATCTAATTGCAATTATAATTAAAACTGTTTATAATCTGATCTAATCTGATACTCCCTCCGTCCCATAAAGTGTTACCCATTTTGACTAAAGTTGAAATTAAGGGAGGGGTAATTTTGTGTTGACTTTCCAAAAATACCCTTGATGTGATGTGTAGATTATTAGGAAAAAGGTATGATGTGATAGATAGGATTTGAAAAAGTAAGGGGTAAAAGTGGGTTTTTAATAGAAATGGGTAAATGATTGTGGGACACAATTTTTTTGAAACGTGTAAATCTTTTTGGGACGGAGGGAGTATAATTTAATCTTATTTGATTATAATAAAACTAAGTAAACAGTAGAAAAAATAAGTAAACAAAATGGTGTCTAAGTCACTACTTGTATGTAGTGTATGTATAAATAAAATGTGAAAGTATTGAGCAAGGAAATTAAAGGGGCAATGTAAAGTGCACAATGTTCTATTAGGATTTTTGGGGCTCATTACTCTAGTGTTTTAGGCTTCCTCAAGATTTTTATATACTAATATCAGTGTTGATCCAATTTGATATTAATTTTCCGTGATTTAAAATCCAAGGTCGAGATGATCAAAATTTTATTTTTTATTGTAATATTTTTTCTTAGAAATGGTGAACACAATAAATGAAGTATTTTCACACTAACAATAGCTAAGAAAGTGTGAAATTTAAAAAATTGTTACTCCGTGTTTTAATCTTGGTATACCGTCGGTGTTGACATTATCAAAGACAACCACTCAGAGATAATGGGCCTGTTTGGAAATAACATTAACGATTAGCGTTAACGTTTTGAAAAGGCTATCTACGGACAACGTTTAGCGTTAGCGTTTTTAAGGTAATCTATACCGTTAAAATTTTATCCAAAACGCTAACGCTAATCTCCAACGTTATTTTCAAACAGGCCCAATAACTAGTTCTCCTATTAAAAAATGTCACATGACGCAAAACGATGCAAAAAATACTTTAAAAAATTTTCAAAACAAACGGTGAAAATTTTTATGATTTTTGCACAGTGAGATGATTTTTGCATAGTGAGGTATACTAATTTTCTTTCGAATGAGCACGAATTGCTTCATTCGATTGTCCTCGTGGCTTAAATTCACCCAAGGGTTGGGGGGTGGTTTCCCTCAGACGGAAAAAAAGGAAAAACTAATTCCTAAAGTGGAACATGAAATTCCTTAGAAGGAATTTCGCACATAGTACCTGCGAATTAAAAAAACTAAAAAAAATCTAAAACTATCAAATCGTCAGTAATTTTTGCAGTGAATTCGCGTGTAGTACATGCGGATTGATTTTTTAATGGGTTTGCATGTAGTACATGCGAAAATAATCTACCTTTTTCACTTTCTGAAAAATCTACTTTAATCACCTTTTTCACTTTCTACCTTTTTCACTCCACCACACATTTCAACCACCTCCTTCCCACCCATCCAACTTCACCCAACCCTTCGTCTTCTTAATTATCACTCATTTTTTTTATTTAAACCACCTCTTCACCCACAACTTTACTCACTATTCAAATTTAACTTATTCTCACACTACTTCATAACATTCAAAATTTCTCAGGTATTTTTTAATTACTTATATTTCACTTAGCTTTTAAATATTAATAATATTGATTATAGATGTTATATTTTTATTAGTTTTCATTTTCATTTGATTATAGATTGTGTTTATATATTCACAACTATGTGCTCTATACTATTTTTAATTTTTTATAAAAATATATGAAAATATTTTTTTTGATATTATGTGTTTTAATGAATATATATTTTTTGGATAGTGTTTACATGAATATATTTTTTTTGAAATTATTAAGATGTTTTTTAATGAATTTTGTATGCACTAATGTTAACCTTCATCTTTTTAATTATCACTCATATATTTTTATTCAAACCACCCCTTCACCCACCACTTCACTCACTCTTCAAATTTAACTTATTCTCACACTACTCTATAACATTCAACATTTCTCGGGTATTTTTTTATTACTTATATTTCACTTAGTTTTTAAATATTAATAATATTGATTATAGATGTTATGTTTTTATTAGTTTTCATTTTCATTTGATTTATTAAGATTACATTTACAGAATACTCATCATTCTAGTCGGGTATGAAAACATAAGGAGGTTTGCGACAATAAAGTAGTTTCATCCCTATTGTTTTTCATGACCCCAGGGTGCTCCAATTTATGTGGATGTTCGACGCTTTAGATATGCTTACTCAGCTTCACCTCGGAGAGTGTAGTGTGTTTTATTTGCTACACGCAGGTAGGCAGAATGAGTGATTGGCATGTTCCTGGCAGC